GCAACACTAACTTTTTAATTTTAAACATGCTTTTAAATATATATTTTATACTGCAAAAAAATCATGAAATGGAGGCGTCCTTATAAATGATCAATACTTGGATTTCCGCAAGTGCCATGATACTTGCCAAAGTATTTATGTACGTTACTGCATTGTCGAGATCTCGATGACTGTTACTATATTGCAGTTACAGTTAAATCTGATCAGGGTGTACGCATATGCGTGCCGTCTGAAGACATCAGATCAACCAATCAATTGTATGGTCTACTGCTTATACGAGGTAGTCAGTTTTAAAGATTGGTTTATAAGAATGTGCATCAGAGATGTAGCCACGTGTTTCACATTAGTTGCAAGTATTAGCTAATGTTAAAAAAAATGAACATTTTGTTCACTAATTTAAAGGTCTGCACTTGTAAAATTAAATTTGAATAACAGCAAAAGTTTCTTAAAATTCCATTCCATTTCAATACAGTACTCTAGTTATCTCACAATTATATTCATATTTACATTTTTAATGGTTAAAGTGGACGAGTATAATATACAAACTTGGGACATTCGACCGAAGCTATGAACCATTTGTTCTAATAACCAACATAATTGTTAAGCAAACTGCGAGACAGAGATGACAGATGATGAAACCAATAAAGGCTTTTTTAATTAATCAAACTGTACGCATATAACATAAACAAGCGTCATGTTTCGTTTTAAACTGCAGTTCTGACGTAAACCTTAAAACCTGCACGTGTATTGCTTTGCAAATGTCTATCCATAAAAATAGACAAAATAGGAATTTAACCGTTTGGAACGTTTGTTACGAATCAAAAGATGCACAATGACCAAAGAATTTTAATTATCGGTTAATTATTATTTTTTTTACATTATGCATGAACTATGCAGTACCATGTACAACCCAAGCAAGTTCACGTAATAATACAGACAAGTACAATTTAGCCCCGCCAGATGGAGCTGCATGGAATTAAGTAAAAAGCATAGTAATTGTAAATAACTTTATGGGGAAAATTACAATTTAATGTGCATGCTAGCTTTTTAAGTACTAAGGATTTCAGTTGACAAATGAATAAAGAATATTGAGGATGCAAAGCTTTCTGAAGCGCGAGCTCGTGCTTCCATAACTTCAGACTTTCTTATTAATAATCAGTTTTAGATGCTGAATGGAGAACTATTTTGGTATAGGACTTTTCAGTATTTGGACAAATTCTGACCATTACTTCTTTTCAAAATCCTAAGACGAGCTCCAGAGAAGTACAATTTCGGAATCAGCAATAAATGTACACAAAATCCTTAAATTTGTTTGAGTCCATGTATGAAGAATAGATCAGAGCATATTTCAGAGACTTTGGTTGAAGTTCGAAATTGTGATTGTGATTTGAGTACAAATAGTTATTGCTGTCCAAAATCCATCTGAAGCATAAAAAAAACAGCATGGCAGTATTCTAGTGTGAACTTCAACATGATCCATTGTACACGATTTGCTTCAAGGCTCCTTCAGATCATATTTTGTACCTCTCTTGAGTAGTCTGTTTCCCATTATATATGCCTTTTTTTTCAAAGTTGGGATCAATCTAATTTTTTTTTAATTGCCTGTCCTGACCTGAACCGGACTGGTACTTTGCCATTTTGTATGCTACGGTAGTAGCAACATAAAGGCTAGAGGTACACACCGATTTAGTATGGTTTTGAGAAGTTGGGTGTCAATCTGCCTAATATTCCGGGGTATCTCGGATTCCGAGACTGGAAATCAATATAACTTGTAAAGAAAGACAATTAGCTCAAGCCATTCTCTGCAAAATTAATGGACAAGCGGGAACTGGTTTCTTCTCATTCAGTTCTGAACTTATACTTTGAAATAAATCGATTTATTAGACCTATGACTGAAAATATTATTTCAAATAATTTCCCCGTGTTATCGTCTCACTACCGTTGTCAACTACATGTAATTACTATTTTGCAGTCTGCTTTTAAAAGTACCAAACACACCGTGTACACAGAAGCAAATGCATACATGAAAGTTAAATGCTTTGAAAGATAAATACCTGTTTTTCTCTATTGTGTCATGAAGGCAAGATGGATTTATATTAGAATCTGTTCTTATTTTGAAAGATTCAATATACAAACAAATACCAATCAGAATGTAACTAGCTTTCTTCTTTGAGACCAGAATAGGTATGTCGGCAAATATAAAGAAAATCATACATTTGATCACCGGAAACAATCAGTTCGCACTAATACAGCTATTTAAACGAATAAATTGATTATGGAATTTACCAAGAAGTTATAACTAAAAAAATAAACATAGTCCCCCTCCTCCCAGTAGTTCGTTGCAATCGGAATCAATCGGTTAATCTTTGTTTCGTAAATAGCTAAGGTGGTTCTCATAGAGCTATAGGCACACATTCAAACATAGTCCGTACGTCTGTCGCAAAGTTGCTGTTGTTGTGGGGCTTAACGCCATTTTTCAGCACACAATAGGCTATACATGGCGGCCAATATTAATGGTGGAGGAAGAAACAGGAAAATTACCGGAAAGATGTACCGACCCACGAGAAGCTACTGGTAAGCTTTCTCACATATCCAAAATCGCCGAATCCTAGACTCGAACCCCCGCAGGCAGACAGGTGAGATGGCAGTGATCCGTAAGGGATAGCGCTTTAGACCACTCGGGGCCCCACAAAGTTGCGAATGTAATTAATGCGTTTATATATTTGAATGGGAAATTAAAAACTTTTTGCAGAGTGATATTGCATGACATTAAAATACTTTGCTATATTTTGCACAAAAATATAGTACCCTATAATTAAATGCGTGGCGGTCCCGAGTGGCCGAGTGATCTAAAGGAATCACCTATATGGATCACTACCATTTCACTTCAGTTTGCATGGGTTCGAGTCTCGGGTTCGGCCAATGTGGGTATGTGAGAAATCTCCCCAGTAGCTTCTCGTGGGTCCGTGGTTCTTTCCCGAGTTTTCCCGGGTTCTTTCTCCACCATTTATACTGGTCGCCATGTATAGTCTATAATGTGCTGTAAAAATGGCATTAAAACCAACAACAACAACATGCGTGCAATATGACGATCGTGAATCTATGTGGTCAGAATGGCGATCGAATTATCAAATTTTAATGTCCGCATATGCCAAAATACCATCATCTGATTTCAGTGTCTCGTTTCATTTTCATAAATATTGCCCAAGTTCACTGGCAAATGAAGAGGCCCTAAAATATAGGTATATTGGAGATAAAGCTATGACTAAAATACAACAGTGCGCTGACTTTAATATAGGCAACGTGCACGAGCATATGTTCACGGAAACTGATTCATTGACGGGTATTTTTAACAAATCGACATATCATGAGCTTTATCGCGTTGAGACCATTTCAGAAAAGCGATATGTCTAGGAACACGCCATTAAAAATCTGCTCTTGATAAAATTGTACCCACCCATCCCCAGAAGCAAAACCTGACATAGTATCACCAACCAACTTCAGTCAATATAGCGTATAAGTGTTTCTCTCTTTAAAATCCACTCGTAAAATTTCATAATTCTTCAATATTTAACCAATTCTAGTTACATTTCTTTTATGTAAAAATATTTAAATGTGCTTAAGGAACAAAATGGGCGAATCTTTTAAAAGCAGAAATGGAAATGCAAATTTAAATCGCGAAAGGAACCATCTAAAGCTTAATAACAGTGCTAGTAAAACTTAACTCGTTGATGAATATCAATGTCTAATGATATTTGATGTGAGAAGAAAAAAAATGATCTTGATTCGGGTTGACAGTGAACACACATATACCTGTCAATAGCTCTGAAAGTGCAAGTGTAATATAACAATTCATAATTTATTAACTAATTATACTATTAGACTAATTATTGTCTTGCATGCCTAACCAAAATGTTACAACTTTTTCTCCTACGGCAATGGCAGCATCATTGTCAATGGTACGAGATCGTGCTAAAGTCGCTCTTTCAAAAGTGATAAAATCTGTTTTCAAACTTGTTTTCCTATATAGGGGTCTGGGGTTTTAAAAGGGAGTAAAATCACGACGGCAAGAAGTGTGAGTGGGGACAAACAGAATAACTATATTAGTCCAAGTTATTAGGAAATCTGAGCAAAGTCAGGTGTTTCTCAGAGTCAATGTGAAGTAATCCCTACAGTGACCAAAGTTTGCCATGACTGCATTTTAGCGGTTTAAAGTACCATGATAACTATTTGAATAACCAGTTGAAACGAGTCTCTGTCTGTCTGTCTGTCTGTCTGTCTGTCTGTCTGTCTGTCTGTCTGTCTGTTTGTCTGTTTGTCTGTCTGTCTGTCTGTCTGTCTCTGTCTGTCTCTGTGTGTCTGTCTGTCTGACTGTCTGACTGACTGACTCTGTATGTATGTATGATCTATAGAGCACGAACTCTTTCAATAATTCATTTAATGTATACATATTTTTTAATTCAGACATCCTCCCAAGAGCATCTCAATTCATTCTTGCGTCAATCCATCCATTCCTTTATAGATCTAACTACTGGTAAATGCAGTCATGGAGCAAGATGTATTCATATACCACAATTTATCTCCCTACCTACCAACCTACCCAACTACCAAACTAACTACACACTTGTTTACTAATTTCACTGCACCAGTATCAGTTCTGCCAAGAATACAACCAGAATAAAACAGGTCATGTCAGGTTATATAGACACCGTCGTATTGTAATTGTAACGACACATTACTTCGGTAATTTCCGTTAGAGATAATGTGATGTGACTACGCGATTGTGAGTTTTGACTTACCGTTTAACAATTTTTCAGTCACATCACTACGACGTCCTGCAGTGTGGCAGTTTATATTGATGTCAAGCACTGGGGCATTATGCCGCATACATGTAGCATGATGTCCCACCCAGTAATATTATTCTCACACCATGCCGACCAGTCCTAACACAAACCTCTTAATGCTGAGCGCTAGAGGAAGCTGTTAGTACCATTTTTGTACGTCTTTGGTGGATCGAACCAACGAACCCCCGCATCCGAGGCGGACGCTCTAACCATTAGGCCACCAGAGCGGTCCAATTAGGGATTTTACAAGAAATTTCCGTTTTCCAAGAAAATTCAATTTTCAATTATTGTTGTTCCGATTACATGGATCTTCATAAATAAAGATATATAGATTCTCTTCCAATTTATTTTTCAAATAGATATATTGCAATAATTGACTAGTTTTTATCGCAAGCATGTATGTTCTAAAGCCTTACTGTAGAGGCAGAATTTCTTGACACATTTAAAATATATTTACACGAGAAGAAAAAACATTGGGTTACGTAACAACAAGGGGGGCGGGGGCTGTGAAGAAAAACTCAGAGACAGACGTATGCATCAACAGATGAATGCCAGGCATTGTCGGAGTATCGGTCTAGCGTCTTCTCCACGAAAATAACTATTTTACGCACACTATTATTTATTTTAGGAATAAATTTTACGTGGTATTTACGGACAGTAATCACTTATCAAAATTTTGCTTCTAATTGTTCGGATACTATTAGGGGTGTTAAATGCAACGCTTCCATAATGCTGGCATCATGTCATTTAAATGATACCTTTGCCGAAATAACTTAAAAGATCAATTTTCACATTTTTTAATGAATATATTTGTCGTAGGTAGTCAATCATACCTATGGAAATTAAACATTTAAAAATTTAAACAATGCTGCAAAACAAAAGCAACTTTATTTACAAAAGTGCTCACTGTAAGCCATGATAACAGACAACATTGGTTTCCATACAGCTTCACGTGTCAATTATAGATGCTACTGTGATTAACCATAAGAACCAACAGAAAGTTTGAGTTCGAAAACTTTTTTGCCCATCAATAGACAGATGAACGGATATTAAGGAAGGCGAATACTATCCTAGTTACATACACATGTACATAGATACATACACATGTACGTTGTTAAGTAGGCATCTAGTTAGGTAGGTAGAAAACTAAAGACCTTATGTAAATAGGAAGGCACATGTCACTGCGACATGACGTCAGTCACGGGAATCGTTTTGTCAATACTGACAGTGTTTTGCTAAGATAATTTGACATTTAATTTGCATGACATAACTTGTGTTGTGCAAGATTCCGCTTTGAAAGGTGCAATACCATTCACGGTTCTCACAACTTGCCAAGTTTGGTGCAATTAGCAGAGTAGATGATCCAGTATCGGCCCCAAAATCACCCAGTTCTCATTTTTATCATAGATACCAATTTAATACGGCTCAAAGAGGATGGTAGTGCCTCGTTCACATTATATTCCACGTTTGCAACCTCAAAGTTTATATTCTTTTAATGTTTTTAATACTTTACTACGAAATTGTATTTCGCTTTTTTTTAAATCTCGCTCAAGTCACGAATATACTATGTCCAAACTTTGACAGATGTAACAAAACTAAAACATAAAAACAATACAATAATTTGATGCTAATTTTGATATCCCGGATATCAGTAAAATAAAGGTCTCCAAATGAAGCAAAAAAGAATCGTAAAGTTGACAAAATAGCCTCCTATAGAATCGGTAAAGTTAACGAAATAGCCTCCTATAGAATTTATAATGTTGACGAAATAGCCTTCTATCAGATGTTTTCTTTCTATCTTGTAGATACTCATTGTTAACACTTATTTATTTGCGCACCTGTATGCAACTATTTGCTTATATACGGCACGCCTGCACAACAAACAAAACATTCAACACTCTTAATTCTTCGGTTACCAACCTACATACCTTCCTACCTACTTAATTATCTACATATTCAAGCTAGCTATATACCAGATAAAACGTGTTTCATCATCAGGTCACGATATTATTTTTAAAAGCACACCTCATGCAATTATCACTCGAAAGCAAGTGTGTATCAATTTAAAATCTATCTTATCTATCTTATCTATCTCTATATCTATCTGCTCTATCTTATTTGGTACGTCTCTTCATAGAATGACAACAGAAAATAAAGTAATTTAATATTTACCCTCTATATTATACTAAAAGAAAACTTGTATGTCGGTCGTTTCCTTTTATGTAACTCTCCTAATCAGTAAATGAATCGAACCGGTACACAAGTATAATCAATTGTATGGGACACTCATCTCCCGGATAGGAAAGCAGGTAATGTGTCCCTAACACTAAGATAAATACATATGTACACAGTTATGTAATACAAATGTATTCACTGCATAACCACAGTATTCCAAACAGCGGTCAGCTTCAAAATATATACAGTACACGTCATTCATGAACCTCTAAATTAAATTATAAGAAAATACTCACCTGATGTTTTGCGAATTCTTCCTTTCCTGTTATTAATATGCTGCTAAAACGGTGCCACAGACCACAAAGTGCGGTGCAGTTAGTCAAAAGATATTGTTTCTTACTTAGTTATTGAAGCACTCGTAAAATTCGGGAGGTATAATCTGTGACGTATGGATAAAATCGTTGAATATTGTTCAAAAGTCAATAAATTGTTGGTGGATCAGGTCACTCGACTTAGGGAGGACTACACAAAGAGTGACAATGATACCCTGAGTTGACAACGAAACGTGTGCACGACTCGCAGAGGTAAACTGTGTACGTCAACTGGTGAGCGTGTGGAGCATTTCTCTCGAGTTACTCCGTTCATGGTACATGAGTCTTGTTTTAGTAATTACTGATGACCATAAGCAGCGATTTTGTATGCGTCAGATAGTACTTACGATCATGAGCCAGTGCTTGACCTTCATTGTAAATGTATGCCAAGAAGAGTATCAAAACTAATTTGTCTGCAAATCTCATACCAACTACATCCTAAACACTGACTTTGTTTAGTGCTATTTTCAATCCACTGAATAGGATTTATAAAATACCAGAATAATGTTTTTTGTACAAAGATAAGATATTTTCACTGTGTTTAAAACATAAATACTCAATCGCAATATATTAAACATATCAGATTCGGGCTTTTTGCCCCTCATTACATTACAAAAGCAGAAAAATATCCATCCACAAAAGTTGGGGTAAAGGAGTAAATGTCAAAAGACGTTCTCTATTCATGTGACTTTAGTTGACAATAAGATGACATATATTCTCTCAAAATTAAAGATCATCTTTTATAACGGACAAAAGACTTATATATAACGGACAAAAATATTTATCTAAGGGACAAATAGATGGCGTGAAGACCAACATACATGATTATTCATATTCTGCAATATTTCTTTCAATAGGATCATTTCATGCTCTTTTGCAGGTGGATTATTTCAATGCAACAGACTTCGGCCATATTATACAAACCAAAAATTAAATTTACACGTGTTGCGACTTTAAAAATGTATTCCCCCCCCCAAAAAAAAAAAATGTCGTTTGGGAAGACGAAAAGAAAAGAAAAGAACAAAATAAAATTAATTTTGTCCAAAAACCCATTAAAACTGATGAAAATGCTGAAAAATAATATTAAATAAAGCACAAAAATATTAACAGAATAAATGCATAAATTATTATTAATGTATGCCTATCAGTTTACAAACTTTTTTAATTATTCAGGTAAAAAATAAGATTTGAAAATTTATATTTGTACAAATGACGGTAATGATAATACAAATTCAGATATTCGTTGCTTTGGACGTCAGTTTCAAAGAATACCATTTAGAAAATAAGATGGCTAACCTAAGTCAGTGCAAGTCAGTAACAGCAACAAAATCAATAATATGAACAAAATCAAAACAAATCTTTAAAGGGCAAGTAAAATTACATACTCACAATGAATTTTGGCAAAAATAAATTAAATCAAGCAATACAAATCAAGCTGAGAAAACATAAAATAAAATAACCCCAAAATTTAGTGAAGATTATCAACAGTTGGGAAATGAGAGTCGGTAATCAAACAACATTGAACACACTTAATTAAGTTTTTAAAACCTTGAGCAAACAGTGTGACGATGGCATTACTTGGGGACATTAAACCTGGACAACGAGGATGTTATTTTGAACTTTCGATTAACAGAGAAAGAGATCCTGAATTTATTAAATCTCTAACACGAAATTCTAAGGCAACATTGAACAATAAATAGATCGTCAATGAATTTGCCCAGAGTACCTCAGATATAATGTGCGTATACTTGTGTTTAATTGTTCAGCTTGATACTCGAGACAGTAATAATCCTGGATTCCTGTCTTCGCGTGATCATTAGACTTATTTATGAGTATAATTGGAATACGACTTCAATTTGCCTGAAGTTATCGTCGAATAGCAATTCTATGCTATCGTGGTAGCATATTCTATTGTAAATCAGCGTAGGCACTAGTATTATAAATCTAATGTTCGTTGTTTCGTGTTATGCTACATGAAATTCATGGTGGAGTCCGAAACGGACAGTATACTCAACAATGCACACAATATTTACACCACATCCCTTAAGCAAATTCATGAAATTTAGAACCGAAAAACTATTTTCTTATTATATATCCTTTTTGAATATTACCTGTAGCGCGGGTCTATTATTAAAATTAATCCGAAATATGTAAACAGCGTGATATCTTTAGAATTATTCATAATTTGTATCAAAATGTCAAACAGTAATGTCCTTCGTGATGTTCGTCGGTGAACGATCTGATTTTTAATTCCGAATATGTGGATAGGCAAGGAGAAAATCCTGCTGTCATTTATTTTCATTGTTTCTTCACGAACAACTGGCATCGTTTTTGCAATAAGATAAAATCCCTGAGTGAATGTAGATTTAGTTTGCTTTGAAGTTTCACGCAGATCAAATATTTATTTTTAGTATAAGCGGACGACACTAACATTGCGGTATAAATGCAGACGACACTAACATTTCGGTACAAACGCAGACGACACTACTATTGGGGACAAATGCAGACGACACTGTTCAATTCTAGATACATGTAGACTCTTTTCAATACATTCTTAACGCTTTTCATAAATATTCAAAACTACGAAAACTTAATCTTGACTTTGCCAAAAAGAACATTTTGATATATGGCAAAGGTAAAACTTAACTGTTTAAATTTAAACTAAAATATATTTCATATAC